GTGGTTTAACAAAATAGTTTCAGTGAAAAACCAGTAAATTAATAACTTTGTTTAATAAATGTATTTATTTAATTTTTTGCTTTTACCTAACGATATATAGAGACAACATAAGTATGCAAAAGCGAGTTTCCTTTGGTAATTTTTATCTTCTTACCACTTTTCCATCCCCTTTTACCTTTTAATAAAATTGACTCTGTTCTTCTTGTCTAAAGTCTAACAGGTGTAACTCCGACGTAATGGGTTTGAGAGTTGTGAAGTGAGAATCAAACTAACGACCTTAAATTTGCAAGTCAACGCTTTTAACCGCTAATTTATTACATTAACTCTCAGTCCCGGTATGATCACTTTAAGTAATTAACCTGTTAAAGTCCAAGCGAGGGCTTACAGGGCTTCTTTTCAGGTGAAATATTGACGATTAGTAACTGCTTAATATTTAAATCAAATTATGATATGGAAAATTTAATAAATAGACTGATAAGTTTAAATAAAAAAAATTCTTCTTATATAGATCAGTTAGTTAAATCAGGCTAATAACTTGTGAGGAGATGAAATACCCGCAATACGTTGTGCATTCCAGGCGGGTAGCTTTACCCTCGAGAATGCTACGATCAATCCAAGCTGACACAGACAATCAAATTTAGGTTCTCAAAATCATAAATGTCAGTTTCTTTTTTTTTTGGTAATAGGGGCAGAAAGGATCCCACATTCAAATAACCGGAGAGGCCTGGCCTGCACTTTTGGGGCCCGTACTCTAGGGAACCTCGGGTCTCCATTAACTCACTTCCTCAGGACGGCCAAGTTCACTCTTTGAGGGATGTACACGCTGGTAAAGGGGGGTGAGATTAAACGGTATAAATTTCCTCCGAGTACTGATCGTAGTGCGCCGATATTAAATAAAAACGTTGGGCTAGAAGGTGAGATCAAGTTGGCGGCAATGATTATCGGTTACCACAGTTGCTAAGGCCTTGGTGTTTGGGAACACTTCTCCAAATAGTGTTTTTAAGTAGTTTCCTACCACATCTCAAAATAAACTAAGCCAAGAAAATTTATTTATAAATATTGCACTTGTATTATTGCTTAAATTTTAAAGTAGATAAATGCCTCCTTAAAATAGTTTTTTTACTTCCCTAGTATAATCCAGAAAATTATAAAATTTTAAAGTGAAGAGATTTACTTAACAATTTTTTTTACAACGGCATAGTCCATCGAACAGAGTGAATCTAACAAAAAATGAATAAAGCAAGGAAATAAAATTATTGCTTCTATGTAAGTTCCGCTTCCGTAAAATTTTTAGCGAGCCGAACCAATTGTCGCGGGGAAACGAGTTGAGCGCAAATTAATTTTTAATCAAAATTTTTCTGTACTGAAAGCTCAAAACCAGCCAAGAATAAACAAGCAAATACTTTGTAACCGAATTTCCTCTTTTAATAAGACTTTAACCTATTAAACTATATGAAAAAGAGAAAACTTTACTATAATAACTGATAGTAATATTTAAGCGAGATCGGTCACTACTATAAAATTCCGGGCAGGCAATCAGCACATAATATCATTAAGTAGCCCTTTTATAATTATTAAAAGAGTAGAGAAAGTTATAAAGTTAATATTCAGCTTATAAAAAATATTTGCCTTATAATAAAAAAAAGTGAATATAAAAAAGGTTGATAAAAAATTTTTAAAGATAGGTTAGCAATCAAAAGAGGGAGTTAATGTAGACTAGGAGAGATGCTAAACTTGAAATACCACGGGAACAATTAAAATTAACTAAACTAAGTTAATATAATTTTATCGGTATAGTTAAGAGCGTGCCCTGGGTGCTTTTTACCAAAGGGAGTAAATATGAATTTACTCGTTTACTCAAACCTTTTGAAAGCTTTTTTTTAAACTTTCATGCTTCTAATTCTAGTGAAAACTGCAATAAAATCTGTTTAACAAAGTTGAGATATTCCAATTTGTGCAATAAGATCTAGTTTTGCCTGCTTAAATACTTCCACGTCAGTATTTAATTAAATACCATTAGCTAAAATATCAAAAAAAATATGTATAAGCAGTTATTATAAATAAGTCAACTCAATTTAGTTTATTATTCTATTTTTTCTTTAAGGAATTTAATAAAATTTCCCACAAGATGCAAGCTACCCGTTACAAACACAGAAAGCTCTTCACTCGATTTTTTATTTAATTTATAAATCCACTTTACTGCAGATTCAACGGTAGAAAACGTTAAAACAATTTTAAATTTCCACAATCCCTCGCCCGGCTTATTTTTCTTTAAAAGACTTTCCCAAATTTCTTTATATGTTAACATTATTTTTTCCTGCAAGTTTTTGTTGACAGTAAAATTAATGTTATCTGCTAAATAAGTTAGTTAAGTAATATTTTTATTTCTCTAACTTATATACCTGCATGATTATGTACAATGTTGGAGCAGAATATGATATAATTAAACTTTTTATTTAGGTGTAAATCCAAAAGAGAGCTAACTAAGTTATTGAAATTACGTTCAGGACTGCAGTAAAAAACCAAAATATTTTTCCTGTAAACAAGTCAAGGCTAATAAAATTTTAATTATTTTAAAAAATTAACGAACCCATCAGACCAGTTTTTCTCAATCCACTGAGCGAAAAAATCTATACTTTCCCGAGTGTGTGCTCCGTCTAAGAAAAACTTAACTTTGCCGCTCTTTCTAATAATCCGCTGCACTATATGGTGAATGGTTATGGAACTACGACTAGAGAGTATATACATAAGACAGAGAACTTCGTCCGGGCCAGTAACAACCCTCCAGCCCCTTCTTAGCTGAAACAAAGATCTCAGTCTCTCTACGGCATCCAGGGCAGGGAAGACCACTTTGGTGGGGCGGTTGGGCTTTACAGAGATCGTGCAGTACACCAATGTTAGTGAGTTTCCACAGTTTTATAGTTCCTTGAGCCAAAGTATCTTTTATTACGCCGTTATAGCAAAGATAGTCACCCTTACAGATATGGTTATTTGATATTTTAGCTAATAATAGAAAAATTAGTTATGCTTTATAATTTATTAATAAGTTAGTTTAACAAAATAAATTTCGGTGCTTCAAAAAAAAAGTGCATCACTATTTAACAATGTTAGTCTCCATAAATCTATAACAAAAATGCAGCCACCCAAATTTAAAGATAACTTTAGATAAAATTTTGCTACGCTTTATATATTTTCCCTCTCGACTTTTTAATTTTTATTAGCCCTTTACCTTAGTATTACCGTCTTAGCTAGAAATTCCTAAGGTTTATCTAATTACAAAGCTCTTATGCAATTGTAGTACACTCAACAAACTTTCAATCCCACAAGAAGTTTCTTAATAATAACTCTAAAATAACTTTTATGAGGGTCTGCTGAGAGCCAAGCATCAACCAATGATAAAGCCAAAGCGGCATTCTCCTTTTGGTAGTCACCAAGAATCCCTTTGAAAAGTAGCTTTAACATTTAAAAATTCAAGTTTTTTTAAATAGATGCTCGAGTATTATTATATAAAAGCTTTCTTAAAAGATAATACTACTATTTATTTTTTCAGTACTACGCTAATAAAGAATTAATTTTAATCAGAGTTCACAGCTTACTCAAAATGTTATTAACCAAAATAACCAATCAAACCTAAATTGAACTCCTTTAAACATAAAGGATCGACCGACTTAAAAAGGGGAGCCTATAGTTTAGTAGATAAAAAGCTTTAGAAAACATATGAGAAATGAGTAAAATTATGATAAAAAATTATTTTAACGAACTAATAAATACAAAAGCGATACAAAAAGTTCAAAATTAATGCACATTTTAGTCATAATTATAAGTTAAATAAATTTTTCTAAAAGCAACCAATTTCTGTTGAGACAACTCGTGCAAGACCACCAGCGCCTCTTCTTTCTGCTCCACTGTTAGGCAAGGAACGCCGCCCTATTAAAAAAATTAATAAACTTTATGATCTTCAATTATTTAGAAACTTAGTATAAAAACAAACTGAAAAACAGTTTAACTAATAATAATAATAACAAACGGGAAATTTTAAAGGAAGCAAAAAGAATAGATTTATATATTCCTCTGCGAACTTTTTGTAAATATTTAGTCACCTTTATTATTCCCCCTTTTGCTCGGGCAATGCTAGAAAGATCATCGCCCAAAACGGTCACATGGTCCAAACCTGTGTTAATTCTCTAAATAAAAATTCTCAGACTTTATATAACAACTTGTGAGATTTTGTTAGGTAATAATACTACTATGCAGTAGTGCGTTTTGTGCTGTTCTTTATAAAATAATAATCTATAAAAAAGGAAGTGCTACACGCAGAAGCAACTTTTTACAAATGTATTGATGCACTGTTTATACTTCGCAAATAAATTTCGAGCAATTATAGAGTTCTATTACTCACTTTTACTCTAAACAAAAGCTTAATTAATTCTCTAAAAATTAAAATCAATTACGTATAGCGTAGTAAAGCATATAAGATTTGCTATGAAACAGATAAAAATATCAATAGGGCAAAAAAGATTTGACTTCGAAAAAGTTGACTTTAAAAAAAAATTCATAAGTAGAATTGTAATAAATAATGTTTTTTATAAAGTAGTTATAAAGTGGAGGTTATGAAATGCTGTCGGCAACTTTTAAGTTTTTTGATAAAAAATATTATAAGCTTTAATAATAATATCCTATAAAAAAGTTTAATATTCTTTACATAACGAAAACAAAACACTAATAAATAAGTTATATAAAAGTATAAAAACATTAAGTTCATATATGTTAACATTCTCCTGTTAGTTTATTATAAACTTCAAGCAAAAATAAAAATCTTGAACTTTTTCCTGAGAATCTTTACCAAAGCGAAATAATATCGAAGTAAAGGAGGTACAAATAATACTAATTAAAATAAATCGCAAGACCCAAACGGGTAACTCCACAGACAATCGGGTTCGGAATGACGTTTGTTGCGTCGTATTCACCGCCAATACCAACTTCAACGACTGCGACGTCGATCTCAATATATACTAAAATAAATCAAAAAAAGTTCAAACAACTGCGCTTTACTTTGGCTTCTATAAAAATCTTGAAGGCCATCACCGTTAAAAAACGAAAATAAGAGGGAGCCGAAACCTAATAAAGTCAATACTAAAGTTGATAATGCCGTGCAACTCGCTTTAAACTTTCTTTTCCTTAAGACGATTAAAGCATTTCCAAAACCAGAAAGCAAAGTCATCTCCTACCAAAAAATAGAATATATTAGTGAATTAATCTTGACAATAGTAGGCCTTACGTGATAGACTTTTCCCGTTAACTTTGATACGTTCACGCACCTCTACTAGATGTGGTGAAGTATAAAGACCGGTAGCAAAACTAAATTTTAATTACATAAAATTATAAGTTAAATATATCAGAAGAATCTACACGACGTCAAATATTTATTCTAACATCAATTTCTACTTGTAAAATATATAAATAAAAAGTATTAGCTTTAAAAAAAAAAATTATGATAAAGTTATTTTTATTATCCTTCAGTCCAACTATAATAAAATATCGGTAAATAAAACTATTCTGAATATGATAGAAATAATCATTTTTATAAAAAAAATATAATAGAAAAAAATGTAGAGAGACATACCCAAGTTCTCTTAGTATAGATTCCACAAAAGCACAAGTTGAGCCTTTGCCTTTTGTCCCAGCGACGTGAATAACGTTTAACTTATTTAAATCTTTAAGCTGTTCTTGTTTAAATGAAAAATATCATAACCCTCAACAAAAGGCTAAATAAAAATAAAAATATATATAACCGAAACATTAAGAGCACACAGGCAATCTTCTATATGCTTTAGTGAATTTCTTAGTCTGTAAAGTAGTCATAATTACTATAACATTATAAAATAAAAGAAGGATAAATTCAAAGACACTTTTTAAAATCTTTACAAGTGGCACTTAAATCAGCAAAGTTAGTTTGCAAAGAATTGAGTTGTGTTACAGCCGACTACATTAGTATAAAGTTAATTAATCTACTAATATTATGATAAATAAACTAAAAGACAAAAAAGGAAAAACAGAATACTTGATAAACGATTAAGTCTTCGTTTTTGCCCTCAGAACTATAAGATGAATGAGTCATTGAAATTCGAAATACACGGGAAATTAAGAGACAAAATCTATATTTTAAATATGAAGAGGCTAAATAAGTTCCATTTAGCAGAGTACAAATATAATAAACAGAAGCACCATATTTGAAGAAAAATGTTAATAAATTCTAATTAAATTCTAATATCGAAATTTTTCTTAAGACTTTTATAAATATTAAAATATTATTAAAGAAATATTATATTTTTCATATTTTCATATTACTTTTCCTTAAAACAGAAATTAAAGTTCCAACCAATTCAAATATAGTTTAACGGTTAATAATAAAGGGTTTAATTAAAACTTTAAGAAAAAAAATTAAAATATAGTATTACCTCTTCTTCGTGGAAAAGACTAATAATGGTGTACCCATAACAAAGTAATAAAAAGAGGAGACGCTACCAAAAAACACCTCCACCCAGACCATACATCGCTGGTTGGTCTAGCATATTATAAAACTTGTTTGAAAAGATTGTTATAACTAAGTATTAATAAAGAGCATCTGAAGAAGATAGAAAAAGAAAGAAACGCTACGAAGGAAAAGAAAAATAAACGAAGGAATTTCAAACAGTAGTAGCTTACAAAACCTTTTTTCTTAAAGAATAAACGTCTTCATGTTCACGAATATAAATGCTCACTGATAAACCTCCGAGTCTTAACAAAACTTGTATTTTAAACTTTTGAATCAATAAACGAACAAATTGTAAGCAGCATATAAAAAAATTATGAATTAACATTATAAACATCTTATTATAATAACTTTATTGTAAAGTATACTTTTAAAGTAATTAGTTTTTTTTGGCCTAAAACGATATACAATTTAAAGTACATCAGTATTGTGGGTGTAGCCAAAAAGATATCATTCGCTAAACCATAACATTACCTACTTATTAGGGGAACAAAAGTGGCTTTTACAACAGTGATAAACAGAAAGCAAGCTCAAAGACATTATGAAGTGTAAACTATAAAAGTTAAAGGAGTATTTATAACATTAAGAAAGCATCACCGAATTAAATAACAATCTATAAATAAACAACTCAAAATAATCAGATAATTTATTATTATAAAATTTTATTATTCGCAGCCCTAAATATCGCTTAGCTATGCTTGGAGAAATGCCGTAGATGGTCAATATTGATAAAAAACTTGTTTTTACTAGTGCTTTCTTCTTTTGCACTTTGACATATTTTTGCTGTCGCTGGTACTATGGTTCGTATGAGTCCTTAAAAATTGTGTAAACTGCTGCCGCTGGATTATATCAGCCGCTGCTTTAATTCCGCTGACAAACGAGCCTACAAGAATTAATAAATTACAAGTGATATTTATAAAATTAGACGAAAAAAAATTTACCGGCGCAAGTAGTGCAATATTTTTTTGAAGTATGTTCTCCTAAACAGTATAGAAAAACAAAAAGTCAAGATCACCTGTCATGCATATTTTTTAAATAATACATCGGAGGAAGTTGGCTTTACCAGCAAAGTAAATGATGTCGTCCACACAATCTGCTAATAAATCATATTCTTTTCCTAAAGTAGTAATTTTATATTATTTATAAAGCCCTCCTTAGTAGTAATCATATGCAATTATATAAAGTAAGCAAGAAATGGACCAGAGGATCCGACGGGGATGTACGAATAGGCGCCTTGAACTAATCTATTTTTACCCCAGCGGGTGATTTTATAGCAGAGAGGATCTGGTGCTTCTGGATAGGATCTTCTTAACAACTTAGAAGTTAATTAATCATTAATTTCTATAAATTAAATTTTTTTGTAAAAATGTGTTATTATAATTTATAGTAGTTGCAAAATAAAAAATTAATTTTCTTTATCTTATATAAACAAAAATTTCAGCAGTAAATATTAGTGCTTACAAACATAACTTTTGCCACTACTAGGTGGTCCGCCATCTCTTCATATAAAGCTACATTACTACCAGCGATGATGGCCATCAAGATCGGTAATCCATAGCATTTCACGCAATTCCAAACCATATAGAAATCTCCACGCTCGCTTAACTCCTTTTGGAGAAGACCAAACACGTCGTAATCTTCCTACGGTAACTTAATACCAATTTATAAACTCTAGGCTTAAAAAAAATAACGCACTTCCCAAAATATACTTGAAAATTGCATAACGACTTTATTCAACTGACCAAAGCCTAAACGATCGATGGCTTCTTGCTTCCATTGAGGAAGAGGAGGCTCAAACGTTATAAGCTTGCTCTTCAGGACTCCCAAAGAGACTGTAACTAATACAGAATCTGCAGAAAGTGTTTCGCCGCTTTCTAAAATAACACTCACGGCTTGGAAGTTACTTTCGTAGTTATCATGTTTATTTAATTCCCTTTTATTATTATTATTATTCTTTCTGATGGTCGAGTAATCTACTGGCTTAATAGCTTTATTACTGCCAGCTTTTAGCTTATCAAGTCTCTTGGAAATAATTTTAGTAACAACGGAGTTGGTTCGGATATGAAGACCTTTTGCCAGTCCTGTAGGAGTTAAACAAAAAAAAACTTTTATCAGTCCAATATTAATGGTTTAAAAAAGTTATGAAGATCCCTTCGACAATAGCACTGAATCCACTTTTCACCAGTACATGTTCGCCTAAAATATAAAAGATTAAACTCAAATGTTTCAAGTTCTAGAAGAATACTTAAAGCAATTCATAAAAAGCTACGAAACAATATTTCAAAAATCAAGAGAAATATATATAATTATTTAAACCTTCAAATTCGAAAGGATCATCCTGGTTCCAGTGTTTCCAGGAGACCTCCCATTAAAATTTATAAAAAAAAAGATCTACTTCCTAGTAACAGTTATTACGCGGTTCAACGGAGCAGCGCAACCGTATTCTAAATTAGCAATATGCCAGGAAAGCAGCCGAGTGGTGATCCCGCGCGTCGATAGTGATATATTTTTATCCTAAATTTTGTTAATATCAAAAGATCACTAAAGAACTGAAAGAAAATGCAAAAAAGACCGAACAAACAGAAATTTACAATAACTATTTAAGTTAAACAAATACATAGAAAATATTAATTTTGTTATAAAACCATTTTGTTCCTGTTAACTAGAAGGGCGAACTTTTACCAGTAAGAGCAATACTACAAGTCGTTAATTTTATTATTCATTAAAAATTGCTTTACACGTGAAATTAATTTAAAAAAAATAACTAAAAGATAACTATTTAAAGAGCTTTCCACTACTAAAAATAAAGGGGCTTTCTACAAATACAAAAAATTTAAGTTTTTTTTTAGGGGACCACCACTTTGTGAAGGAGTTTTTGGATTAGCAAAGTTTACAAACGCGTGTGTGGTGCTTTTGAATACGGTCAAACTACTAGTCGGAAGTTTTTTTGTTAATAGATTTGGAGTACCGCCAAGATTTCCTCGACGGATGCCTGAAGGGATTTATCAGGGCGCGTGCTTTTACTTTTCTCTTTTCCACTCCTCTCAAGTACTTCTAAATAGATAAAAAAACATTTTAATTAATATAATTAAAAAGTTAAAAAATAACTTTAATGTGTTCTAACTCTATTAGATTCTATTAAAGCAAACAGACCGTTAAAAAGATCCTCTGCAGCTTCATCTTCAGAAGAACTAACCAAATTTCCGTTCACATCAAAGAGCGGGCAGGTCACGCGTAGAACCTCCATAAGATACAATATTAAAAAAGATACAGAAATCATATTCAAAAAGGTTGAAAAGGAATATATACAATTTCAAAAGATCTAAAAATGAAGTAATAGCAAAGCAAAGAAAAACTAAAGATTCGTTACGTTTCATACATTATGACCTAAAAACTTTTCAAAAAAAAAAAAACCTGAAGTGGTATATTAAGTTGTTTGCAAAGAACGGCCATCGGATTTTGTTCTAACTAATGAATTGTATAAAAGCATACAAGTAAACAGCAGCGAGTTAAAAGTAAAAAAGTTTATTTCTTTATTGCAAAAGTTTCAAAGATCTTTATAGTAATGTATAACATTCATAACTATAACTATAAACGGTTAAGCAGTTTTACAAATAAATAAACTTGTCACTAATAAAATCTAAGTACTTAATTTAAAATAGAAATAAAGGAAAATCACACACTATTCAAAGAAGTAATTTAAGAGTATTCAACGCTATTACTCCAGTTATGAGCATCGTGCCAAGATCAACAGGAGCCCCGAAGATTTCACATGAAGACTCAACTCTACCTCCAATTTTCGAGGCGCCCTCCAATAAAAGTACTTCAAAACCAAAAGTTTGAAGCTTTACATCAATTTTTATGTAAAGTTATTAAAAAGTCCACTTAAAGATTAAAATTACTTTAAAAAAAAAATAGTAACGTACATGCCTGCTGGCTACTAAACCGGAAATCCCTGCGCCCACCACAATAACTTTTTTTTCTTAGAAAAAGAGTAAAAAATTATTATAAATTATGATAATATTGATGTAGCGTACTACGGAGACTGCTTCTAGGAACCGATATAACATTTCTTCTTAGGGGAAGGACACCAAAGTTTATGAAACCTTCAATTTCTAAAAATTCAAAAACTTTGGAAGCGAGATCTCTGAAAACAACGGGTATTCCCCTCTTTACATCATTCCATTCCAAACGCTTAATAGTAAGAATTTAAAAACAGAAAAAATTCATAAAAATATTTATAAATCTATATACTTATTAGTAATTATGTATTAAAAAAATAATAATACTAATTTTAAAAGGACGAACCGAGGCAACATTGTGATACCAAAGTCTAATGAGGTGGTTTCTGACGTCTAAATAAAGATCCGTGTGATCTTTATGGTATTTGTAAAAATACGGTTGCAGTATTTCTGTATCCTCCATATCATAAACTGGCAAGCGAGCTTCCACCACGGCCGCTTCTACTTCAGTAAGCTTGGTTTATATTTAAATTGTACTTGACATGTATTAATAATTTATTAAAACAGATGGTGTTGTACAGTAGAATTCTCTGCCTTCGAAACTCTGGTCCTTGAAAACTTTAAATTTTTAAAGTTGAGGTAAACTTGGCTTAGAGCCTCAAGTAGGTCACGCTCAATGGGAGACAAATAGAAGCGATATATACGATTCAAAGAATGGCCTGCACTTGTGGCTAATAATATTTTTAAACAATGGCACTACTTTTAACCAAATTGTGATAAAGTTAACCTGTGGGAGAAAGCCTGATAAATTTGGATATAATTCCGAAGGAGCGAGAATTGTACACCTTAAAAAGATTTTATATAAAGGTCACGGTAACTATAGTTTACACAACTTTGAAAGTGTTAGTTACCTTTTCAATACCGCCATAATGGTTAATAAGGTCGAAAACCAAAAACATATCTTTTTTATTTATAAAGAAAAACAATTACTCCTGTAGTATATTATGCAATAAGTACTCACCCACAGGCCTGCCACCTAATATTGGTTCGTTCCGGGTTTTTTTATGTTGCTTGTATTTTATATAATAAATATTATTAAAGGCAGCCCGTGCATGTAACAAGGCTAAGGGATCAGAAACTCTTTCATATTTCATTCTTATGTCTCTAAACTACTAAATACGAACATGTTAATGCCAGACCTGCAGAAGTTTTGTAAAGTTCAAGATATTTTTATAGTTGAGGGTTACGATTATTTGTTAGGGTTAAATTAGAAGTATTTAAGCCGAAATTAGGTTTCATACACTGGAGATCGTTAAGACCTCTAGACTGGGTTTGACAGATGAGGTAAACTGCGAAATTTGGCCGGCGGCGCTATCGCCGACTGCGCAATGAACTCTAAACATATAATAGGGGTTTGGGATAAAATTATTTTTAAAATATATTTATGAAATTGCTTTAACTCAAGCTAAAAGCTAATGTATGCGCTATTGCCCTGTTGAGAACTCTTAAATTCGGTATTTTCTTTTACGACCCGTTCAACCATCAGGAAATAACATTAGGAAAAAAAATACTCTGACGATTTAATTGGCTCATCTTATTGCCGTTCTTCTGTGGCCTGTGCGCCTCTACTTTTTACTACGGACTTGCATTGAATGTCCAACTTATATTTACATATTTATTACTCTTTTTTTTTTTGCTCAACGCGTACCTAACTTATTAGCTCTATATACCTGCATACCTTTTATATTTATTCTTATTATTTTTATAGGGGTACTTTGTATACCTATATTAATTTCTTTTTGAACGGTTATACTAGGTTCTTCTCCCACAAATACTGCACAACAAATTTTAATTAACTTGTTGGCTGCCAACGCGGCTTTGAGAAGTGAATTAGAATTCTTAAAATCTGAAAAACACCAAAGAGGGACCAAAAGTTATTACAAATACTAATTCTTTTTCTGCGCTACATCTAGACAAACCTGGTTATTAAAAGAGGACATTCTGGTAGATAGTGAACTACACATGAATCACCCTCAAGTAGGTAATAAGAGTATTTATAATAATAAATTCATTGATAGAAGTAATAATCATAGTAGCAAACTCTTAAAAAATAATAACAGCAGTCATAATAGTAACCATGATAATACTAACAGTCATATAAATAAGAAAAAGAAAAATTAGTACTCATAGTTGTATACTAGTAAGAATGATACAAACTTAAAATAGTCTCCTCCACTCCACCTGCCAGAACAACAACCAATTTCCCCACCATGACTGGACAGAATAGAAACAGACAAAACACGTGAATCACCGGAAGAACCACCGACGCGAACAGTGATATCTCCCCCCTCCCCCCCAGTCGTTCTCGTTGACGAGGAAATGTAGTCTGCGTTAGTGGAATTACTGAACGCTCAGCGCGTAAAGGCCCCTCCTACCCTTGATCACCGCGATGGCATCCACCTGTGCCAGCAGAATAGTAGCACTATTACGGGAGCATTCTTGGTAACTCTACTGCTACCAGTTACCCGGGGACAAAACCTTCAAAATCGTTCTCCGAGACCTTTACACCGACCTACCTATGGTCTACCTTAACAACGGCGCTACGTGCTCTGGTATTTTTACCCCTCCGCATTGCATAACGTTCTACAACCCGTTCAAACGGCGAGGACCCCATTAAGCGGCCACTGCCACTGGTTCTTGTACATTTGCCGAAGAAGGAAGGGGCCCGCAGCCTACGCATTTCAAACATTCTGTCATCTGCAAATAAATTTGAACCACTTCGTAAGAGTGACCGCATGGGTTAGTGTTATTACTGCCAGCGCTTCGGCCACATCGCACAGAACTATACCCTCACTCACGCTTTGTCAAGAGTGGGAAAAACTATTTAACAATTCAATGCGTGAAATTACGTGAAATGCCCGCCAGTTCCGCGGTCTGGCGAGGCCCAAACTGCACATTACCGAGGATATTAAAACACCTTAAAAACGTTTTTACGCCCCCCGAAACGTTCAATGACCCACGGAAACGCAATCAGTAACGCCAATGATCTCTTGCAACCATAATAAGGAAAAACCCTCATGTACCGTAATCCTCTCAATAAGGACCTATTGCATCGAATCCTTTTGGCGAGATAATGGCTCCACTCACAACTTCTCTTGAAACATTTCTTCGAGTGTATAGCAACCTGACGCCGCAAATGGTTTTTAAAACCCGTCTATTTCGTCACCTGAAACTCTTGCAGTGGAATGCCAACGGGGTGCGCTGCAGAAAGGATGAACTGCTGCAGCTGTTTCAGAGTGAAGATGTGGATGTCGCGTTATTAAGCGACGCACTTGACAGCGGGCGATCGTCTAGTACTTTGCAACTACACAAAGTACCGTCTTGGCCGTCTTCACACACGCGGCGGTGGAGTAGCTATTCTGGTGCGGTGAAACCTCGAGTGCACCCCCAAACCTAAAAGGCGTGGAGACTGTGGGGGTCTGTCTCAACTGGGTTGACAGGAGACAGCCTGACGTGCTGTACTTCTATAAACCTCCCGGCATTGCGCTTCTTACAAGTGATCTGGATAAAACTGCTACAACGCGGCTTGCCCGTCGTTCTTTGTGACTTTAACTGCAAACACGTTGCTTGGAACAATCGAGTTAAAAATTCGAACTTAACAATTCTTGAGAAATGCGCAGTCCATTCAACATTCGTGCTGGCATCTTAACGTTCGACGCACACGTCAAAAACGGGCACTTCAGACGTTCTCGACATAGCCATTTTAAAGGCATTCAACAGTCCGTATCAATCGCAGAGCGCATGAGTCTCATCGGGCCACCTGCCCGTCTGATTGGAGCTAGGCGAAAGCAAGGCTACAGCAAACCTTTGGACACGGTCATTCACGGATTGGACAAAATTTACAACTCCTGTTGAAGCATCGCTATTCCCCCGCCATCTCCCTCTCCGGCTCCCTTTTATTAGAAGACGCAGTTGATAGTTTTGAGTGCGTACTGACAGTTGTCCATGCTTCCGCGACGAACAGCCGCGAAGTCGCGTATCGCTCTGACCGTCTACCGAATTTGAGGAGCCTTATTTCGTTAACATCTCCGGTTAATACGTCCGACCGCTGCTACGCAAAATTCTCGATGGCAAACTAATTCTAAACCGTTTCACCTACACATTGGAGAGGAACTAACCGCCTTTCTCAATAACCGCTGGGAGGCGAAACTGCACGATGTGCTCGTAGTGGCCGGGGGAGGACACCCATCTTTTTGGTTCTTCGTCAAATGTAATAGAAACCGTGGCCACACACCACCCCCGCCACTTAATAATGGCATGATAGTGGCGGTAAATGACGAAAACAAGGCGAACCTCTTTGCCTGCCGACTAGCTGCAAAGTTCGTATCTCCAACTTCGGCAATCTTTGCGGAACGAAGGCAAGACACCCCGATTGTTTTAGACGGACTTATTCAACTAAGCTCACCTGATGAAATCTCTGGTATGGTTTCTCCTCTTTTAAGACGGAAAGCACTCGGCCCCGATGGTATTACTAACGAAATTCTAAAAAAGCTGCAGTGGGTGGCGAGTAACCGTCTCTCCCGCATTGCAACTTCTGCAATGTCCCTTGGCTCCTTTCCAACGCGATGGAAAACGGTCACTGTTGTGATGCTACCTAGGACTCCGCAAGCTACAACGGCCCAGCAACTATCGCCTCATTAGCCTTCTTTCAGCGGTGGGCAGAACCGTGGAGCTAGCTCTACTGCACAGATTGAAGGAGTTTGTAGAAAAACACAAAGCGCTTCCAGAATTCCAAATTAGAGAAGTCACTCGACGACACAACAACTTTTGCGCTTTTGTTGAGCAGACAACTGGGGACCTCAATATTAAGAAATCCACGGGCGTCTTTTCTCGATTTAAAAAGGCCTTTGACCGCGTATGGCACGAAAGTCTCCTACGCAAACTACGCATTTAGATACTCTGTTAGTCCTCTACGGCATACTTGCGTCGTTTCTACGAGCGCGCACCTTTCGAGTGACAGTTGGGGCTGCGCTGTCGCCATACCGTTAACTGAACAGCTGCTCTCCCGCAAAGCTCTCTGCTCTCGCCCCTACTCTTCGCGCTATACCTGCGAGATATTTTAACTCCTGCGAATCCTCACGTCCGCATTACAATCTATGCAGATGACACTGCAGTTTCCGCATCCTCAATGAGACCCTCCTTACGGCAACACCCAGATTTATTTGGAGGTATCTTCCAAATGATCAGCAATGGAGGGTAAACATCAATGAAACGAAGAGCAAAGCAACCCTCGTCTCAAGAAGATTCATCACGCTACCCCCGCCTCTAACCCTCACGTGTTAAGATTCCATGGGGCTCTCAGATCGAATATTTGGGCGTCGTCATCGATAAGCAGTTAACTTGGAGGCAATACGTAGTGTTCGTTACAACTAAGGCCAAAGCAGCCATTCACGCACCGCAGCTGTGTATCAAAAGCACTATGTGACGAAAAGAGAAGAAAAGTAGGAGAAAGCCTGTAAGACTGACTTTATTTTCCGGGGATTTCTTACATATTTATAGTCTTTTAATTTTTTACAATATTCGGGATTATTCTTAATTTTTTTGAGAGGTTCAAAGCAGCAGCATCGTTGTTCTTTACTTGTTACAATGTCCCTGCGCAATAAACCACGCTTTTATAAAGTATGCGTGCGCCCTATTATGGTCTACGCATCTGTTGCTTGAACATATAATAAACCGATCGATGGATGCATGTATCCACTCGCAGGAAAACAGGCTCCTGCGCCTAATGACCGGCGCGCCTTATTTCGTGCGGAATGTGCGTTACATGACAACCTAGGTTTGGAACGACTTAAAGTCTTTTTCCGAAATGCCACTTCAGTTTCCTTTGTACCTTTTAGTAGCCCTCCAAACCACCAGTGGATCCAAGAATTTACATACAAACCCTGGAAAGGCTCACGCTTCGAAGGCCCCGGAATACGCTTTAAGCGCACAGCTACAGTTTTGTTATACCTTTAACGCATGTAGAAAGTTTATTTTGAGATGACGTGCCGAAAGTGAGTACGATCTAATCCAATATAAATTATTTGCGAGATTATGCAGTCCTGCGCTCGATATTATCGAGCATCTGCACAATTCATTAATAATAAAAAAACCATAAGTTCTTGGTAGTCATAGGAT